CGATGCAACTAACATACAACCTAGCATACGCAATGCTATGAAATGGCATACGGTGGTGGTGGTGGGTGGCGGGTGGTGGATGGTGGTGGTAGATGGGTGCTGAGTGATGGTAGCGGGTAGGTGGCGGACAGTGGATGGTAGTGGCAGGTGGCGGGTAGATGGCAGGTGGGTAGTGGTGGTCGTGGTCGTGGTGGCGGTGGCAAGGGATGGGTGGTGGCGGCAAGTGGGTGGCAGGTGGTGGCGAAAGACGGTGGTGGAAAATGGTGGCGGGTGGTGGCTAGTGTTGGGTGGTAAAAAAAAAAAAACTGAAAACTCAAAATAGAAACACATTTTTTGTGTTTTCATTTTTTGGCCAAATTTATAAACTGAGACCACTGATTTATAAATCAACAATTTTACCAAACAAGTTTTTATTTGAGTTTTTAAAATTTTTGTAAATATAAACAGAAAACTGAAAACATAAGTGTTACCAAACGGCACCTAAAAAACTCAGTTTTCAAAAAACTTAATTCAAAAAACTCAAACCAAACACACTGATTATTATTCACCCAGTAGAGGAGTATTGCAAAATTAACTAACAGGAAAGTCTTTGGACAATGCATTGCTGCTCGGTCCTGATGATAGCTGATCAATCAGTTTTGAGTTCAATTATTTGCATCCAATCAATTAACTAATAGTTCTAGGGTACTGCATTTTCTTGTCCATTGACCTTCCCAGTTATTTATATAATTTCGTCTTTCTCTTTTTCTTCTCTTAATCCTCAGCATGGGGTATTAGCTGTCGCAAAGAAAACAGAACTAAGGCTCCATTTGGATGGATGGATGGATGGATTTCAAATGAAGGGATTTGAGGTTGAACTTTACAAAAATATATGTGAGTTGGTTATTTTAGATAGATTGAGAAACTAAATGGGGAGCTAGAGTAGAGTAAGAATTGAATTATTTTATTATGATTTTCCGTATAACTACTTTTATATTGGAATTTCAATCCATCATGCGAAATCTCTCATATTCAATTCATGAAATCCATATCTAAACTATCATGAACTACTCTCCTTGAATGATTAGATCCCAAATCCAATTATTTCAAATACATAAATCCAAACACAACCTACGATAACGTTGCTTTCTATTGTTAAATTTTCTAAAATAAAAACACAACTAATTGGAATGTCCATAATTGAGTCGAAATATTTATCTTCTTTGAATTCCTCCCCACATTCCCAATCCCACTTTTTTTTTTTCCCGGCAACCAAACGAACACTAGAAAAAATAAATAAAATTCCAAAACAATGTTCTCAAGAGAGACAGAGTACCTGTACAGACTCGGCGTGATCGCCCAAGCTTCGGTACGCGGGATTGATTTTAGATCCACCAGCGTAACCGGCGGTTGTCCGGACAACGCCATCCAAGCATCCAAACACGGCTTCGGATCTCCAGAAGCTTCCGAGAGCGAAAACAGCACTTTTCAGGGGTAGATTGGGCGAGTCCTTGGGGACCTGAGAGATCTGATTGGGAAATCTGATGCCCAAAGCTCCATGCGCAAACAAAATGCTCACAATGTATAAGCAAACCAGACTAGAAAACAGGACGTTGTTCTTGCTCTTCGATGGCTTCATTGGGCTGTGTATGAAACTCACACAGAGAGGTGTAGAAGACGCGTAAAATATTCATTTTCACGCTTTTTCTTCTATTTTTTGGCACTACTGGTGTAGCGCCGGATCTAAACCCGAGCCTGTGCCTAAAAGAAGGTGTTTGATTTGTTAACGGTGGATTTAGTTTGGGTTATGGTTAGCCAAAAAAAAACTGAAAAATGATATCAAAATTTGATAGGTCATTATACACATTAAATATAAAATATTAAATTATATCAAATTTTTTTAGAATAATGGCAAATCCAAGATTCATAGGGATAAATGTGAAATTAAACTAATTCAATTATTAAATTCCTAAATTAATTTTGATTAAAAACATAAGATTGATTTTATGACTAAACAAGAATTAAATGAAATTGAAGAATTAAATTGACAATTAAAATTAGGGTTTGACGTATTAATTTTTAGGAAAATTCCTAGGGCAAAGAATTCACCACTAACCACATGAATAAGACTTAACATTGGCGAACAATTGTAATTCGGTTTGAACTACCCAATATTTCATAACTACAAGTTTGAAATATTGATCAAGAGAGTTGTCGCATTCAACATACAAGCGCGAATCATCCCGAGTAGTATGAGGCGTTTGCTCAAAACTATGGTAGCAATACAACCCGTCTCTCGTAGCATGACTCGTCTTGTACTTTGAATACAAACACAAAGAAAACTAATGTATGGAAAGCATTAAACAATCACAAAGAGTAAAATACTTGAAAAGATGAAAGAAACAATTGTTAAAAACCTCTAAATCATCCATGTATTGATTTAAACCAATTCACAATTGAAGCTTATGAAAAATCCTATCACATGGCTAGGGTTTCATCAAAACCCTAGAAAAGATGAGCTTAGTCACTCATGGAGGAGTGGAAAGAGGTAGAGGGAGAAGCACCGTCCATGGAATAGCAAGCTTGAGGAAAATCCCCATTTTTCCAACCCTAGCCTTCTCTTTTTGGTCAAATAAAATTCGAACCCTAAGTTAGGCTCTTTTTCTTCCTTTTGTTCTCAGCAAAACAGACTGAAAATTTCATGCATGTGTCCCTAGGTGGGTCGCACGTGCGGTGAAGCTTAGCCGCACGTGCGATGGTCTGGCTGGCTCGGATTCTTCACTTCTCGCACGAAGGATCTACTTTCGCGCCCTTTTTTATTGAATTTTCATATTTCTTGTCAAATCTGTACAAGTACACGAAACACATCATCTCCACCAAATAAACAAAATTGAAAGACTAAAAATATAACTTAAGTAGCCTCAATGTGGTACCTTTCGGCCTCCATCGGTAAGAAAATTTAGAAGTTGTATAGTATGTACATTCTAATTTCAGGAAGGATAAAATAACAAGAGTCACTAGTAGCTCATTATTTGTCATTTTCATTTTATTATTCAATTTTCTGATTTAAACAAATTTTGCTAGATTGAGTTTCACAAAAATAAAATAAAATAAAATAAAAATAATTAATTAATTAATTAAAGTAATTATTATATATATACACACACGTAGTGTACAATATCATCGTATGAATCTATAATATGTGGTAAATTAAAATTAGGAAAATTTATTTATAAATCTCATCTTGAGAAATGATGGTCCGTTTAGTTCCAATGATTTTTTTATAGACCAATTAGTCCTATTGATTTTGGAAAGATAGATTTAATATATTATTTAGAAATTGAATTTATGGTTATACCCTTATTTTTATTATGTTTCCTTCTTCTTCTTCTTCTTCTTCTTCTTCTTCTTTTTTCTTTTGTGTGTGTGTGTTATAGAAAGGTAAGATATACAACCTATGTGAGTCAAATTTAGGATGAATTTTTATATGAGAATCTATTTTATTTGAAATGACTTAAAATATGGGATTTTTCAAACATTCACTACAACAAAAAAGGCTTTTGGTGACAGACTGATTTTGTCTCCAAACATCAAATTTTCGTCACCAAAGTGATTTGTGACAAAAAAAAATTGTCACCACATTTGTCGTCTACGTTGTCGCTCAAAGTACCTGGTGAAAAAAAATAATTTTGTTGCCTATTTTTCATTTTTGGCGACAAAATTTTTCATCTCCAAATGTTGCATTTTTTGTCGAAATATTTCATCACCAAATAGGTTTTAGTGACAATTTTTCCTCACCAATGATATAGATTAAGGTGACAAAAAAATTAGTCACTAAAATGAGTACAAAAGAAAATTCTTCAATGACAAAAAATATTTTGTCACCAAATATTTCAATTTAGCGACGAAATATTCAACAAATGTGACAAATTGTTTGTTTGGTACTATATCATTAGTGACAAAATTATTTGTCATGTTGTTTGAAAACTAATAGCGACATTTTTTTTCATCGCTAATAATAATTAAAAAAATTTGCAATGGGGGTAATATTTTCAATTTAATATTTTTCTTTTCACTGAAAATTCCTTGTGCATTTCAATTACCTGTTCAATAAAATATTTGTTACAAATCAATCCAAAAATCTGTTCATTCTCATAAATACCACAGTCGAATTTCAGCACAATATCCACAAAAATACAATATCAACTGCATGCGGATTACCAAACATGTCTCCTAATATCCACAAAAACACATGTCCACTAATACCCACAAAAATACAATATCAACTACATGCGAATTACCAAACACGTCTCCTAATATCCACAAAAAAACATGTCTGTTAATATCCACAAAAATATAATATTAAGTGCGGATGACCAAACATGTCCTATAATACCCACAAAAATATAAAATTTACAATGCAACCAAAATACATGTAAGGTAAAATGAACAAAAACACAAAATGAGCTAGATTTTGCTCTCCAGATTACCAAACATGTCCATATCTGCAAATATGACGAAATTTTTGATTTCGTACTATATCATTAGTGACAAAATTATTCGTCATGTTGTTTGAAAACTAATAGCGACATTTTTTTTCGTCTCTAATAATAATTAAAAAAATTTGCAATGGGGGTAATATTTTCAGTTTAATATTTTTCATTTCACTGAAAATTCCCTGTGCATTTCAATTACCTGTTCAATAAAATATTTGTTACAAATCAATACAAAAATCTGTTCATTTTCATAAACACCACAGTCGAATTTCAGCACAATATCCACAAAAATACAATATCAACTGCATGCGGATTACCAAACATGTCTCCTAATATCCACAAAAACACATGTCTACTAATACCCACAAAAATACAATATCAACCACATGTGAATTACCAAACACGCCTCCTAATATCCACAAAAAACATGTCTATTAATATCCACAAAAATATAATATTAAGTGCGGATGACCAAACATGTCCTGTAATACCCATAAAAATATAAAATTTACAATGCAACCAAAATACATGTAAGGTAAAATGAACAAAAACACAAAATGAGCTAGATTTTGCTCTCCAGATTACCAAACATGTCCATATCTAATCTCGAATCTGCAACAAAACAAAACACAAAAAAAGAAAAAGAAAAAAAGAATACAAGTTAGACAATTATTATTATCTTATCAATTAAATATACAATTTAACATGCATTTTTGGACTTAGTTTTCAAATCGGGAGTCCCATGCTAGTTCCGTAAGTTTACACAAGTTACAATGGTCACTTTCAAGGTGTTTGAGGTATTCCCCGGGCCCTCTCTTGGTTTTTTAACGATTTTGACCCCCAATGACCTTTTCAAGCTTAAGTGTGATAAAAGTGTATTTTTCGACTTAGTTTTCAAACTGGAAGTCTCGTACTAGATCCATAAGTTTTCACAACTTGCATTGGTCTCTCCCGAGGTGTTTGATGTATTCCCCGGGCCTTCTTGTAACTGTTACATAATTTTGACCCCCGATGGCCTATTTTTAAGCTTAAGTGTGAGAAAAATACATTTTTCGATTTAGTTTTGAAATTGGGAGTCTCGTGCTAGTTCCGTGAGTTTTCATAACTTACATTGGTCTCTCTTGAGGTGTTTGAGGTGTTCTCCAGGCCTTCTCACGATTGTTACACGATTTTGGCCCCATATGGCCTATTTCCAAGCTGAAGTGTGAGAAAAGTGCATTTTTCGACTTAGTTTTCAAATCGGGAGTCCCGTGCTAGTTCCATAAGTTTCCACAACTTACATTGGTCCCTCCCGAGGTGCTTTAGGTGTTTCCCGGGCTGTCTCATGGCTGTTACGTGATTTTGGCCCCATATGGCCTATTTTCAAGCTTAAGTGTGAGAAAAGTGTATTTTTAGACTTAGTTTTCAAACCGGCAGTCCCGTACTAGTTTCGTAAGTTTACACAAGTTTAAATGGTCGCTTTCAAGGTGTTTAAAGTGTTCCCTGGGCCTTCTCATGGTTGTTTAAAGATTTTGGCCCCCGATGACCTATTTTCAAGCTTAAGTGTGAGAAAAGTACATTTTTCGACTTAGTTTTCAAACCGGGAGTCCCATGCTATTTCCGTAAGTTTAATAAACTTACATTGGTCCCTCTTGAGGTGTTTAAGGTATTCTCCGGGCCTTCTCATGACTGTTACACGATTTTGGCCACCGATGGTCTATTTTCAAGCTTAAGTGTGAGAAAAATGCATTTCTCAACTTAGTTTTCAAACTGGGAGTCTCGTGCTAGTTCCGTAAGTTTTCACAACTTACATTGGTTCCTCCCAAGGAGTTTTAGGTGTTCCCTGGACCATCTCCTGGCTATTACATGATTTTGATACCATATGGCCTATTTTCAAGCTTAAGTGTGAGAAAAGTGCATTTTTCGACTTAGTTTTTAAACCGGGAGTCCCGTACTAGTTCTGTAAATTTCCACAACTTACATTGGTCTCTCCCGAGGTGTTTGAGGTGTTCCTCACACCTTCTTGTGACTGTTACACGATTTTGGCTTCCAACGGCCTATTTTCAAGCTTATATGTGAGAAAAGTGCATTTTTTGACTTAGTTTTCAAACCGGGAGTCTCGTGCTAGTTCCGTAAGTTTTCACAATTTACATTGATCCCTTCCAAGGTGTTTGAGGTGTTCCTTGGGCCTTCTCGTGACTGTTACACAATTTTGGCTCCATATGGCTTATTTTCAAGCTTAAATGTGAGAAAAGTGCATTTTTTGACTTAGTTTCATGCCTACATGTTGGAATAGTGCAAATTTCAAAGTAGTTTTCAAATTGGTAGCCACGTGCATATTTTAGTGTTTGTGATGTTTAAGCATCTCAATATCATCCGTCTGGTAACTGCGTTCGAACCTCTACGTAAAATAGTTTATGCATCTCAATAAAATTCATATATTGGACCACTAATCAAAAAAATAAAAAATAAATAAAAATTATCTCCCTAAGACTTATTTGGTAAAGCTCACATTCCAACAAATCAGAAATACTCAACAAGATTCCAGATGGAGTGAAAGGCCAAAAAGAATTACTTTCTCAAATAAGTCTGGGAATAAATGCACTTTAGAAGCAACCTTTAATTAGTGCACTTAGTAAAATAAATGGATGCACTTCAGATAACAAAGCATGCCTAGCTATAAAAAAATCCACAAGTTAAAAAACAAAAAAACAAAAACTCACTTGATATAGAGATATTGGAACCAAAGTCTCACATGGCTCAATTAAGATGATCACTTCACAAACACCAAGATCTTTCAATCATTCAACATCGCAGGGAATGGGATAGCACCTAATAGTACACACCGAAAATGGAGACATGATTTTTGTTAAGTAAAACTACAAATGGACATAGTAGAAGCAGCGCTAACTTTAGTTCATATTGCAAAGAGCATATCTCATTATAAGCACTGAACAATTTCTAAACTAGTCAGAATACATGATGATGGTTTTTTTTTTTTTTTTAAATTTCCTGGCACAGGGGTGTCCTTAGATGAAATCATGATTACCTAAATAAATCAGTAAACCTTGATTATACAAAAACTCCAATTGAACATGAATCACATGGCAAAAAATGTATAAATAAAATAACATAAAATGCTTCACAAAGTGAGAACAAAGCAAGAAGAAGATGACGTTATAATCCTAAAGTCAACCCTTAAAGATAAAGATGCTGCTAAGAAGTGAAACCATTATAATCATTGAAAATTTAAGGGCCACCAAGATGACATGAAAGAGAAAGCATTAGCTGGGTACAAAAATTAATGAAGTAACAAAAACCAGGCAGAAGTGAATCCTAAAGTCATAATGTACAAACTAAACAATGATGAAAAAGTTTTCTACTTTATGCAAGTGTTTAGGCTTTTTCTACATAAACATAACTTAAAAGTTTTACAGTAATCAAACAGCAATGTTAGGTACCCAGGAAAAAGTATTGGATGGCTGAGATTCATTTCAAGTGTGGGTCTCATTATATAGAGCACACATCAATATTTTGGATGACTTTCTGGACATATTTTCTGATTTTATATATTGGCTGGTAGTCAAACATACTAAAATCATAATTATATCATATTTTAGTAATTACAAGTCTATTGTATCAAAATCAAGGATAGGATTATACAGAAAAATGGAGTAGGTAAACAAAATTAATTTCCATCCCTTGCTCGTTAAAGTATTGAATCTATTGTCTTATACTAAATAATCCATCCCATTTATTTTAACCAATTATAATAGAAGATTAGATCCACTTGCAAACAAAACGAAATTAATTTCCAGCAAAATGGGAGTTTTTAACAGTAACATTCTTTTCTTGATATATATATATATATATATATTGTTAATTTGTATAACATTTTCTTTATAATATTGTTCATGGCTATCCATTCCAGACCAAAAACAAAACAAACCATTTAGGTCATTGTATCCATTCCTCACATTAGGAATCTCTACCTCATTATTATAGCTATAGTTTTCCCAAAACACATGACATATAAGAAACTATGACCTTTTCTGGCTGGGAAGTAATTACTTTGAAATTTTTCATTCCGCCAAATTATTGAAAACATACATATTAATTCTATCATCTTTGGTAGCTTTGAAACAAAAAACCTCAAGACATCATTATTTTCCTTTTCTGTTTCTTTTAGTGACAATGGAATTAGTCATGCTATTGGTTTGGAAGAACGACTTAGGAATATAAGTTCCTATCCACATTTTACCTAACAATCATTCATTAGCCACTTTTTCCATAGACAAATCTTATGAGTGTACACATCAATCTTAGCATTCACATACCACTTCTGATTTAAACTTCTCAATTGAATCAACAAAAGTCAACAGTACTGCTATATTAATTAAGATCAGTGCACCAATGATAATCAAAGCAACATCAGGTGATCATCAAGTTACTAGTGGAAGCTCAATTTTTTTTATGTCTTTTATACATAATTAAGCAATTTTAAACAACACAACATAGGTATCATAACCTTTGCATATCTCTAAGATTTTCAATTTTCAATACACAGAGACTACAATCTAAAGAATCATTTTGCATTATTTAAAATAGATTCAGCATGTTAAAACAAAGTAGATAAACTAGATTGATTAAAAGAAAGCTGCATGAATTATGGGCACAATTACCTCTTTGAGCAGCATTTGAGTTGTCCTCTTCCTGTTGCTTGTGCCGATAATCTTGTTCAAATCTGTCCAAGGCATGTAACTCATGATACAGTTCCTGCAACCAAAAGGAAGTTCAATCTTTCCTCCATTCAAGTTCTACAAGATAACATCTACGCATTAACCAAGTTGTAATTTATGAAACACGCGATCTGTTCCACTATTCTAGCCTGTCAAAGAGTAATCATATTTTGCTTGATGGACTAAGCAACTATCTTTAGTGCAGTGACAACTGACAAAGAAGTTGGCACTGAGAAAGTTAAAGGAAGTGATTACAGATATCTGCAAGGTTATTTACCAAAAAAAAGATATATGCAAGGAAAGTTTGTGCAGGATGGTGGTGACAAGCATGTGAGTGATAAGGGAGATCAGATTTTTAATAGAGTGAGACGTTCTCATGCTATGAGGTTAGAGAACGAGATTCGAGACAGGTGTAAGTAAGGAATTTAGAAAGCATATTGAATAAACAGTGGGAGATATGTTGGGTTCACTGGAATGCTAATACCTAACGTGAGAAATGGATAAACTATAACTATGGCTATATTGAATAAATGTGTACCAAACTTAAAATTCCAATTCCATCAGGACAATAAAATACTTTTGTTGTGGCATCATACTCAATTCCCCAGGGTGAACCAATCAACGGGTCACATGATAGCAAAAAAAAAAAAAAAACCCCAAACAAAACCAATAGCCATATCACCACACCAGGGTTAAGATACAAATAAAATCCACTAGACAGAATTTAAGTTGCTATATGTAGCCTACCAACCATTCAGTTACACAAACAAGTATAGAATTATATGTAATTACCTTATACCAGTTGGGCATAAGAGAGTCCCTTGCTTGTTGATCTTCCCAACACGAATTGAAACAAGCAGAATGCACAAGCACTTAGCTAGCATACCAACTTCTGATGGCTCAAAGTGTTGTTCAATAATAAACATGAAATAAGTAAGTTACTAATCGAATGAATTACAACCAAAAATACATAGAATAGTAGATTTTTACCTTTTTCCGTTTTTTTGTTTTCTTTCTCAAAGCTTTTGCTTCAAGTTCATCGTCCCCCTCCTTCTCATCATCATCTGTCTCCTCCTCCTCTTCCTCAACCTCCATTGTATAAGCTCTTTTGTTTCCAGGCGCCAATATATTAATTTTCCTCTAAAATATTTAGCAACTAAACCATTTATTAGTGAAAAAATTATTTCCTCACTAAAGATGAAAATATTGGCCACAAAAATAGTTTCCTCACTAAATGATATCAAAATATTTAATATTATTGGTGATGAAAATATATTCGTCATTAATAATTTTATAATTGGTGACCAATTGTTTCCTCATCAAAAGTCTCAAAATTTTGGCACCCTCCGAAAAAAATAGCGAGAAAATCTTCGGAGACAAAAAAAATATAAATAATGACAAAAAATAATTTCATCACCTCATTTTTTTATTATATATGTAGATTGGTGACAAAATTTTATTTTTGTCTCTAAAAATGGTACATTTGGAGACAATATTATTTTCGTCATTAAAAGGTATGTATTTCGTGATAAAATTTATTTCCGTCATTAGTTTTCGTCTCTAAAGACATTTTTTGTTGTAGTGATTTCAAAAGGAGCACAAAAATGACATGAAATATGAAAATTTTCAAAGATTTCCAAAGGAGTACAAAAACTCCTTAGTAAGTTTTGGATAAATATATAATTTCAAATTGTAACACTCCAATGTAACACTCTAAGAAAACTCATGTGTATTTTTTTCAAATATAACATTCTAATACAACACTCTAAAAAAACTTCTTAGTGTAACACTCGAAAAAAAATCGTTAGTATATTTTTCACAAACGTAACACTTCAAGATAACACTCCAAAAAAACTCTCTAGCGTAATACTCTAATGTAACACACACACACACAAAAACTCCTTAGTATATTTTTTCCAAACATAACATTTAAAAAAAAATCCCATAGTGTACTTTTCTTAAACGTAACACTCTAATATAACATTTCGAAAAAAGAATATGGGATTCTTCATACCATTTCAAAGGAGTACAAAAATTCCTTAGTAGCCTTTAGGCAAATAGATAATTTCAAACTATAAGTGTTACGTTTGGGAAAAGTACAGTAATATTTTTTAGTGATTTTGTGCGTTAAATTTGAGTCTTACGTTTACATTTATTAGAGTGTTACGTCTGGAAAATATGCACTAAAGAGTTTTTTTGTATATTAGTGTTACGTTTGGAAAAAGTACACTAAGAAATTTTTTTTGGAATGTTACGTTGTTACGTTAGGGAAAATACACTAAGGAGATTTTTTATTTAATTTTTCCTAATTGCATTATGATTTATGTATTTGTTATTTATAACTTAAAACATAGCATAAATGAAAAAAAAAAAAAAAAAAAAAAAAAAAAAAAAAAAAAAAAACACCATATATGAAATTGTGATAAAAAAAAAGTTAAAATGTAGTTAATTCTATTTTTTTACGACTTAATTTTAAAACTAATTGTTAATTATTTATTTAAAATTGTACATAACATGAATATTACACTAGTATATATATTTTATCTCAACTTATCTTGTTCCCTTATTTCTCAATCCAATAAACTTCAAATTGAAATTATAACTATGTGTGTGGGTGAAAATCTGACCACACTGCCCGTTTAGTGATCAGCTGGAGAGCACAGGCAGAATAGATGGCTTAGGCAACCTGAAACAGAAAGAAAAAGCTCCGGCGGTGGTTCTTCCACCCGGGGGCACTCCGACGATCAAGTCAGTATATCTCTTAAAGATAAATCAAGTACTAAACTGAATACTCAAAACATAAATTGCATACCTTAGACCCACGGGGTGCCTCTCTTTTATAATATACTCAATCCAAGTCCCACTAGAAGTATGACTTCTATGAACTCTAATTTACTGTTTACTCTGGACTCTTTAAGAGATAAAGATAAACTCCCTAAGAGCTTTATCCTTATCTTGGTTAAGTCCCCTTTTTGCTTTAGGACTCTTGCCCCTTATCTCGGATTCCGATATCTTCGGAAATGACCTCGGCTTCTCCGAGATTACCTCGGCTTAACTACCGGGGCACGTGGCACCTCGGCTGACACGTCGGCGTCACCATGCCACGTGTTGGTATTCAGAAAATATATTCTCACACTATGTATTTTGAATCTTTATAAGCATTTTGGTTTGGCCTGACCAAAATATTTTAAATTTTTTTTTTTTTTTGTTTTGAAAACTTTGTTTTAAGAGAAATAAAAAATAAAAAATAAAAAACAACACTAGAATAAGATGAAAATAGGACACTCAGGCCAAAAGTCCAAATCTAAATTTGTTTTGTCCAAAGATCCACATGCCAAATTAGGAAAATTATATTTCCACTCCTACTTACTTTAATGCATATTATTTCTTGGTGCACACACTTATTAATTTGATTATTAATTATTTTTATCAATTTACACATTAAATGTTTCTCTTATACTTTTCAATCATACCATTATACTCACCACTTCAACCCTCTTTCTATACACTTATTGACAATTATAGACCCACTGTTACGATTCTGGATTTGTTGAAAATTGTAGGTGAAAGAACTGTTGAGTTCCATTTCATCTTCTTCAATCTCGCAGTTTTGTGAATTGAGCCATTGATTTTCAAGCCTTTTTTGAGAAATTTATAGATTTTGATGCATCAAATGTGATAATAAAAAATAGGATTTTCATATATTTTCCTTTCCTTTTTTACTAGTTCTTGGAAGAAGTAACATTTCTTTCAAATCATTGTCATCAATTATTGATTTGCCTTTTTTATTAGTTGTTGGAGGAAGCAACCTTTCTTTTCTTTTCCTTTCCTTTTGAATCATTGTCATCAACTCTTTGATTTGCCTTTTTTATTAGTTCTTGGAGGAAGCAAGAAAGCACGCAAACAAAGAGAATTTTGAGGTTGGGCAACAACATAAAAAAGAAGATCAAAAGAGACAAGAAATTATAGAAAAAATCCTTATTTTCATGGTGGAAAACCAACCAGAAGAGCAATTTCACACTTGAACCTCGAACTAGTTTTCAACAACGAAAAATATGAGAGTTGTCATAAGAATATTGATTTGTAAGTAATAGAGAAATATAGAATGTGTAGAATAGAGAATTGTAAAACAATAGAAGAAGTGACAAGCAATAAAAAAATTTGAGGTTAGTTTTTTTTTTTTTTATTCAAAAGATGTACATTAAGATTTTATTATTTTTAAAAAATGTGTATAGAAAATATTTTGATATAATATTATGGGTGTGTTTTGATATCCATGATGGTCATTTTATGTTAAGGTATAATTGTTATTAAAATAATATTTGATTAAATATATGCATTGAGATAAGTGTGGAAATAAATTTCTCGTCAAACTCATAAGGACGTGATTTTATAAAATGAGCAAACTATCCATCCTAGTCCTAGACTCCATCCTCCTTCATACTTGATAGATCATACCATTATACTCATCACTTCAACCCTCCTTCTACACACTTATTGACAATTATAGACCCACTGTTACGATTCTAGACTTGTTGAAAATTGTAGGTGAATGAACTGTTGAGTTCTATTTCATCTTCTTCAATCTCGTAGTTTTGTGAATTGAGAGCCATTGATTTTCAAGCCTTTTTTGAGAAAATTATAGATTTTGATGCATCAAATGTGATAATAAAAAATAGGATTTTCATATATTTTCCTTTCCTTTTTTACTAGTTCTTGGAAGAAATAACATTTCTTTCAAATCATTGTCATCAATTATTGATTTGCCTTTTTTATTAGTTGTTGGAGGAAGCAACCTTTCTTTTCCTTTTCTTTGAATCATTGTCATCAACTCTTGATTTGCCTTTTTTTATTAGTTCTTGGAGAAAGCAAGAAAGCACGCAAACAAAGAGAATTTTGAGATTGGGCAACAGCATCAAGAAGAAGATCAAAAGAGACAAGAAATTATAGGAAAAATCCTTATTTTCATGGTGGAAAACCGACCAGAAGAGCAATTTCACATTTGAACCTCAAACTAGTTTTCAGCAATGAAAAATATGAGAGTTGTCATAAGAATATTCATTTATAAGGAATAGAGAAGTATAGAATGTATAAAATAGAGAAGTGTGAAACAATAGAAGAAGTGACCAACAATAAAAAAAATTAGAGGTTAGTTTTTGTGGGGATATATTTTTTGAGTACCAACACGTGGCAAGGTGACGCCGACGTGTCAGCTGAGGTGCCACGTGTCCTGGTCGATATGCCGAGGTCATCTTGGTTAGGCCGAGATTATCTCCGAAGATATTGGAATCCGAGATAAGCGGATAAGAGATAAGGGACAAGAGTCCTAGAATAAAGAGGAGACTTAGCCAAGATAAAGATAAAGCTCTTAGGGAGTTTATCTTTATCTCTTGAGGAGTCCAAAGTAAGTACTAAACAGGAATCCATAGAAGTCAGGCTTCTATTGGGATTAGGATTGAGGTAACTATAAAAGAGAGGCACCCCCATGGGTCTAAGGTACGTAATTTATATTTTGTCTAATAAGTTAAGAACTATTGATTATCTTTGAGAGATATACTGACTTGATCGTCGGAGTGCCCCCGGGTGGACGAACCACCGCCAGAATCTTCTATTTCTGTTGCAGGTCAGTCAAGTGCCATCTATTCTGTCGGTGCTCTCCAACTGGTTACTAAGCAGGCAGTGTGGTCAGAAAATCACTCACACAATTTGGCGCCGTCTGTGAGAACGAAAAGAGAATAGATGGCCAGTAACGGACAGAAAGAAAAGGTTGGGGACCACACTCCTGCTGGGAGTGAGAGACCTATTGACCTTGATATCACAGGAGACGAATGCAATGCAGAAACTCGTGACCAGAATCACAGAGCAAAAGACGTCGGCCAGACTAGCAACGCACCAAAGAAACCTGATCAAAGCAGGTACTGCAACGAAGACGACCTCCAAGTATGGAAGGATAGGTGCTTGCGGAGGGACGAAGAGGTAAGAGATATGGCAAACAAATTGGCGGACCTACAGTCGGTCGTCAATTTCATGATGCAAAATAACATCATGCAGCCACCGTACCTGCTGCAGGACATGCCGATTCCAGCGGCCAATACCCAGAAGGGAGGGCAGAAAACAATCCCCATAGCCCATCAA